GGAAAAATTGTTCTGAGAATGTTAACATCAACTCTAGTCCATTAAGTCACATTGCGAAGCCTCATAAACCTCACTGACTACAAACATTTCTTCAGTATCTACCAGAGTTCAGATCTATTTAATATGGTATAGAAACTATGATTGCTTCTGATAAGTGAAAGGAGATACTTCATATGTTGCCAGGACACACTCTACTATACAGAGATATTAAATCCACAGTGCTTCTAGCTGGCATACCACAGGGTTTAATACTTGTAACATTATTTTTGGTAAGTTTGGAGAGCAATATTAAGAAAGTGAAATACCATAAAATGTGTCCAAGCCATTTCATTTAATGTTTTTCTTGTTGCTGTTGTTGTTTTACCTGAATTACTAAGTGTAGAGTGTAAATGTCTTAACACAATAACTAAGAAAATGTGGTAAAGGCTATGTTAACCAATTTGATGACAATATTTCAAATGGTATATAAAACCAGCACAGTGTACCCCATATTGGCATTAATGTACAAAGCTATGATTTAATAAAATAAAATTAAATTAAAAAAAAATAAGATCTCTCAAACTTTCACTGGTTAGTTTATCTATAAAATCATTCTGAAATACACCAGCTTATTATTCTCACAATAACCCCAATGGTCATTAAAGCAAGTTTTATCCCAATATGACAGATGAAAAACTGAAGCGCAGAAGTGTTAAATAACTTGTTCAAGGCGGTTAGTGATAAAGGTGAAGCCTGTATTCAAGCCTTTGGGTTCTCAGTTCACTAATCTTACTCCCTAAATAAAAATCATGCAGACTTACTAAGATCAGGCTTTTCACACAGTCAGACTGACCCCAATCAAAACCAATTTCTATCAACTTTTAACCTCAGATAAGTTTTTTAAACCTTTCTGAAGTCAAATTGTAAAATAGGGTTAAAACCACAAATTACACATAATATACAAAAGCATGGCACAGAGTGGGCACTTGATAACATGTTAGTTCCCTTTTTTTCCTTCTCTACCACAGAATACTTCAAATCTAAGCAAATTATTTATCATTTCTGAATAAATATTTAGATGATTAGTAGAATCCTAAATAGCTTCTAGAAAAACTCAAGGGATATGAGGAAATTGATCAAACAGTAAATTCACTGTCACAGGCAATGACGACTATGGTTAGACACTATTTTCATATATGTACTATTATGCAATAGCCAAGAAAGTAGCTATTTTTTAAAAAGTTTATGATGCTAAGTCTTTTTTAAAAAAAGATAGGTCACATCAAAACTTTATACTTTGAACTTATTCTCTGCTGTCTAATAAATATGGCTCACTGTCTCCAAACATGAAAAATTTAAAACACATCAAAGAGGTATGAAATATTTCCAACCTGTGGTATGGCTGGGACTCCTGAGTGTGGGTACCTTATTGCCATCATGTTCCACTTAAACAAGGACCAAAAGAGTCATCACCAGGATCTTTTGGCTTGTCAGTGCCACACTAGAACAGAAATTATGACTCCTTTATAACTACACTCTGCTGGCTTAGTTAGCCCTTGTTAACGGGGCTGGGGTAAGCGTGCTCATGGATCCATACACCAGCAGGGGATAGGAAGCAAGGGGCTGTACTGACTGTGGACGTGGGCAAGGAAAGAAGCGTAAGCCCAGAGGAAGGATGGAGGCATTGTAGTGAGGGGGCATGTATACTTCTACCACTAGAAAATTGAGCAATTATCAAATTTAATGCTAAAAAATGCTAAAATGCATAGCATGATTTAGAACATTACTTCATATTTCAACTTAATGCTAGAACTGTGTGCTAATAACTACCTAATACATGTGACTTTGGCTCTTGGCACAATCCTCGCCAACTAGGGTTGTGTTATTGCATATGTGGGAGATTATTAAATGCTTTACAATGATTATGTGAAAGGTCATATTCCTCATACACATAGCTTCACTTACTGTAATGAGTTAGACAAGTACATGAGTAGACAATGGTCTCCTTCCATTAAGTGCAAACTGGCTGAAATTACTGTTTAAGTTGCCAGGTTGTAAGAGAAATGAGATCAAATTAATGAGGGTGAAGTTGTATAATCAGTTTATAAAACAAATCATGCTGAGGTCAAGGCTGACATCATCAACTCCCACACATCTAACTGCACTTAAAAATGCGACTCTTCCCCTTTCCCCCCACTACCACTGCTCTAATTCAAGCTGTTTCTTATTTCTCTTCCATTCATATGTAGCTAAAGAATCATTTATCTTGGCAAACACCAATTCGATCATGTCACCATTTCAGAAACCTCTGAGGGCTCCCTGCTGTTTGAGGGACAGAGGCCCAACTCCTGAGCATAGGGGTTCTCCTAAATTTGGCTCATCCTTCGAATTCAGGGTTTCCAAACCTGGCTAAATATGAGAACAACTAGAGGAGCTTTAAAAGATAAACAGGCTTACTATGTTCCATAGCCCAGAAATTCTACTTATTAGTTCTGAAGTGAGATACAGGAACTTGTAGCTTAAAAACCTCTATGGATGACTCTATACACTGAAAACGTTGAACCACTGGTCTAATGTTCCCACGTATTTTTTCACCCAACATGAACTAACCCTTCTGTGTCAGTCAGGAATGCTTTTTGCTTGATTATTTGTGTCTCTGTCCTCTATTCGTGCTGTTAATCCAACCCAGAATATTAATTCCTCTTTGGCCCTTTCTTTTTATATCTTCGCCATTCTTCTAAACTTAAGTGAAATCTTACCACTGTTTTTACAATCACGGTGAATCATAATGATATCGCCACGCTGATAATCCTAAGGGCATTTATTACCTTCATAAAGTATCTTAGGGCAATTAATAACATAGTTTTCTGCATGAATGTTTAGTATTTTGCTCCTTGCACTTCAGGCTCCTGAGGAAAGGCAAACTTTACCTAAGATCCACTGTTCCCACTCCCTAGACCCTAGTATTGACAACAGTCTTAAGCATAAAGTAGACACTTGTGCTTAATCCTTATGATGACTAAATAAATAAAATTCTCTGAAATTTAAGAAGTCTTTTTTCTTACAGCCTGACAACCTAAACTGTCAGCCTCCAGGGTTGTTTATGCACATAGTGACATGTTTTTTACTACAAGCATCATTATGCCCCTGTAGAAATGATAATCATTTGTCCACGAAAAGTGATGTGATGTCAAATACAGAGTGTGATGCCTGTAAATGTGTTTTTTTCCTAGAGATAGAATGATTTTCCATGTTTATATGTACTCAATTCCCATACATTTGTAGAAAATCAGAAAGAAGTACTACAAGTTCCCAATCTGTCAATACCTGACTTATCAAAAACCCACCCATGTAAAATGACAATAAAATCCATTTACCATCCTAACCAGAAGTCCCTTTTCCCTCAATTTAGATGACAGGAGAGTATCAGTAACCTACAGGTAAATGTCTCTCCTGCAAACACTAAACACAAAAAAGGTACTGATGGGAGAGTACCCAATATTGCCAGAAACATAGCTCAGGCTCTCCTACCACTCAACCTACCCAGAAATTCCCTCTCTCAATTCTAGAATAAGATGGATGTATTTCCACTTTCTTTACAAAACAGCCTTATACGTGGTGGCTGCCTGTAGTTAAAGCAGTGCTGGTACTTATGAGTTAAATAGTCTTGAGAGAGTTGGCTGAGAATCTAACCACTATTTATAACATTGTTTTTGTGGAAAAATGCTTTCTGCATTCCAAACAACAGAATTAGACATGAGCTTTTCGACTACAGTTCATTTTTGAGGCTGGGAACTGGTTGTTTCTTGTGAACTAAATGCACTATGGTTAATTCTAAGATTGTTGGCATTTTCCTAGGATAAGATGACAACCAGTAGTGCATAACAAGCATGAATAGTTGCCAAAATATGGATTGTATGTTTCTATAAGGATAAAAGACAGGGGATACTGGGTGAAAAAGCCATTTATTAATTTACTGAACACCATTAAAGGCTATGATGACTGGTATGAGAGGTAAAAATTAGTCAGACAAGATCTTTGATTGTTATAAGTCTTACAATGTAGGATGGGAAGTAAGACGAACACAAAGCTGCACAGCCAAATGTGCTGTAACAGTGACAAAAACAAAACATTACATGATGTGGGCAGAGAGAGAGTGAGTTAGTGTTTCTAGCTGGAGTAATCAGAGTAAGCTTCGTGGAGAGGCTTCCATAGGATTTCAATATGCAGAGGAATAGTAAGAGGCGAGCAGGGGACATCACAGGCAGGAAAACTAGAACAAGTCAAAATAGAGGCATGAAGGAAAAATGAGAGTTCAGAGAATAGTGAAGAGTCCAGTGACAAAAGTGGTGGATATTTTTAGGAGCTTGGTAGGGGTCTTTGAATGCCAGGCAAAAGAATATGGATTCCATCCAAAGGGGAGTTAGAAGCCATTAAAGGGTTTTAAAATCACTAAAGTGGCTCTATATGTAGACTTATCTGGCAGCAGACCACAGGATAGAGGAAAAGAGAATGAATACAGATAGGCTACAAGGAAATCATTGTAGGATTTGAGGTTGGTTGACCTTCCAAAGCTAGGTTTTGGAATAAACAGTTAATAAACATTTAAGGTTTAAGTACTATTTAATTAATAAACTACTTCGTTTACTAAGAACATGTAAATCATTTAGAAAATCTGTATAAAGACTTAAAAAACAGAAAAACAAAATATTAGCTACAATGGAAAAACCATTTTAAAATATTAGTTAGAACTTTATGATCAGACTTGATACAAATAAAAGAATGACTACGGTATTAGTCTCATTTTAAAAATAACAAGAGTTTAAAATTAAACATTATATTTTTATAAGCACATAAAATTTAATAAGAAACCATGAGTATATTCCAATTCCAGTGATTCAATATATAAGGTGACTATAAGATAATCCCCTAAATTTTAGAGTTGAGAAAGTTTCAAAAGTAATTCTCTGCATTTTAAATCAATTTTGACCTGGTGCTAAAATAGATGTAAACAGACTGACCTGAATTGATTTGATTTAGAAAATGTCTTCTAGCTTCAAAATGTCGGTATTAGATGGGACATGGCATTCATCTTTATCTGAAAACAAATGTTATGGAAATAATAAAATTAAAAGAATTGATAGCTTATAGAAGCAAATTAGATGATTATCCCTGAAAGACCACAAAAGAGTTATATGAAGTCTTATAAAATTGACATTACTTATACCAGGTATAATTTAAGAACCTAAAATAAAAATATCAAGCTGTGCTCAAAGATTTAAAATAGGAGATACAATACCTTACCTTCATATATTTTTATGTCAATCTCCTAAAAAATTCCAGAAAATATATTATTATTTAAGCCTACTTTAAGCTGAACAATTTCAAATTTAGTTGACATTTGAGTCTGATTAAGTACCAGGAGAAGCAGGGAGATAATGAAGAGACAGTTCCTGTTCTTCAAGAAACATATAAACTTGGCTTGGCACCTGTAGCACAGTGGTTATGGTGCCAGCTACACACACCAAAGATGGCGGGTTTGAACCTGGCCTGGGCCAGCTAAACAACAATGACAATTGCAACAGAAAGTAGCCAGGCTTGTGGTGGGCGCCTGTACTCCCAGCTACCTGGGAGGCTGAGGCAAGAGAATCGCTTGAGCCCAAGAGATTGAGGTTGCTGTGAGCTGTGACGCCACAGCACTCTACCAAGGGCAACATAATGAGACTCTGTCTCAAAAAAAGAAACAAACAAACATATAAACTCAAGAAGAGACAAACGTGAAAGGTAGACATATGATGCTACAAGTGTTCTTATGTGCTCTGGGATGTTGGCAAGTGTTGAGTCTGTTATCTCAGCTATTGTGTGCAGTGCTTCAAGAAACATAGGCAGGCACATATCTCAGATACTGATTTCACTTATTTTGGATATATACTCAAAGTGAAATTGTTGAATCATATGGTAGATCTATTTTTAATATTTGAAGAACCTCCATACTGTTTTCTGTAATGGCTGTCATAATTTACAAGCTTACCAGCAGTATGTATGTGACGTCCCCATTCTCTACATTCCGTCTAGCAATTATTTTTCATCTTTTTGATAATAACCATTCAGAGGTGAGGTAACGTCTCATTGGTTTTGATTTCAATTTCCCTGATGATTAGTGTCAGGGAGCATTGTTTCACATATCTATTGGTCACTGGCCATTTGTATGTCTTCTTTTGAGAAATGTCTACATCTTTTGCCCATTTTAAAATCTGAATTTCATTTTTATTTTTTACTATTTTCTTAACTACTGAGTTGTGTGGGTTCCTTATATATTCTGCATTTTGGCCCCTTCTCAGATACGAATATTTTCTCCCGTTCAACAGGTTATCTCTTTAGTCTGTCGACATTTCTCTTGCTATACATAAGCTTTTCAGTTTAATATAATTCCACTTGTTTATTTTGTTTTGTTGGCTGTGCTTTTGAGGGATTATCTTAAAAAACTTTATCCAGGCCAATGTTACAAAGTGTTTCTCATAGGTCTTCTAGTAGTTTCATAGTTTCAGGCCTTATGCTTAAGTTTTCAATTGTTTTGAATTGATGTTGGTTAAGTGGTAAGAGACAGGGTTCTGGTTTCATTTTTCTGCCCGTGAATCCAGTTTTCCCAGTACCATTAAACTGTCCTTTCCCCAGTTTATGTTCTTGGTATGTTCAATGAAAATTAAGTTGTCTATAAACACGTGGATTGATTCCTGGGTTCTTTAAACCATTCCACTGGTCTATGTGTATGTTTTTATGCCAGTATGATGTTGTTTTAGTTAATATTGATTTGTAGTATAATTTGAACTCAGGAGTGTAATGCCTCCTGCTTTGTTCTTTTTGGTTAAGACAGCTTTGGTTATTTAGGGTCTTTCGTGGGCACATACAAATGCAAGGATGGTGTTTTTCTATTTGTGTGAAAAATGCTATTAGTATTCTGATAGAGTTTGCACTGAATCTGTAAATTGCTTTGGATAATACAAACACTATAACAAATCTAATTCTTGCAATCCATGAACATGGAGTATCTTTTCATTTATTTTTTTCCTCTTCAATTTCTTTCATGAATGTTTTATCGTTTTCATGGTACTGACCTTTCATCTCCTTGGTTAAATTTATTCTCAGGTAGTTTTCTGAAGCTACTATAAAAGGGATCGCTTTCTTAATTTTTTTCATATAGTTAGCTGTTGACATATAATAACGCTATTAATTTTGTATAATGATTTTGTACCCTGCAAATTTACTGAATTCATTTACTGGTTCTAATAGTTTTTGGCAGAATCTCTAGGATTTTCAAGTATAAGATCATGTCTTTCTGCAAATAGGGCAATTTGATTTCCTTATTCCCAGTATGGATTCCCTTTATTTCCTTCTCTAGGCTGACTGCTCTGGCTAGGACTTGCAGTCCATACTGAAGAAGTGGCAAAAGTAAGTATCCTTGTCTTGTTTTAGGTTTTAGAGAAAAAGCTGTAAAATTTCCCCGATTCAGTATGATGTTAGCTATGGGTTTGACATATATGGTCTTTATTGTATTAAAAGTATATTCCTTCTATGCCTTCTATTCCTTCTATGCCTTAACAACTTTTATCATGAGAAGATGTTAAATTTCATCAAATGCTTTTCTTACATCTCTGGAGATGATATGACTTTCGCCTTTCATTCTGTTAAGGTGATGTATCACATTTATTGATTTACATATCTCTCCTTCCATACCTAAGCTGTATCTCCCTTAATCACGGAGAATGATCTTCTACATGTGCTCCTGGACTCAGTTTGCTAGTATTCTGGTGAGGACTGTTATAACTATGTTCATCAGGGATATTGGCCTATAGTTTTCTTTTGTTGTTGTTGACATGTTTAGTTTGGTATTGGGGTCTTATAGAATGAGTAAAGAAGAATCCCCCTTCACTACATTAATTTTTTGGAATACTTTGAAAAAAACTGGCATTCTTTCTTTTTTAAGTGTTTGGTAGACTCCATCAGTGAAACTAACAGAGTCTGGGCTTTTCTTTGATGGAGAAATTTTATTACTCATTCAAGAATCATTACTCATATTGGTGTGCTGAGGTTTTCTATTTCTTCGTAACTCAGTATTGATAGGTTATACGTGTCCAAAAATGTATACATTTCTTCTATGCTTTTGAATGTATTGATATATAAATATTCTTAATAGTCTTTAACGTTCTTTGTATTTCCATGGTATTCACTGTAATACTGCCTATTCTTCATTGATTTTATTTGAGTTGTCTCTATTTTTAATCTACCTAAAGCTCTGTCAATTTTATCATTTCAAAAAATAAAAAACCAAAGCTTGATTGGGTGTGGTAGCTCACACCAAGTTTGGGAGGCTGAGGTAAAAGGACCACTTGAGGCAAGTTCAAGAATAGCCTGGGCAACATAGTAAGACCCTATCTCTAAAAAAAAAAAAAAAACCCTGAAAAATCAGCTGGATGTGCTAGTAGGCACCTATAATCCCCAAGTACTCAGGACGCTGAAGCAGGAGGATCATTTCAGCCCAGGAATTCAAGGCTGCAGTGAGCTATGATCATGCCACTGTACCTCAGCCCGGGTAACAGAGTGGCACTCAGACTCTTAAAAATAAAAAATAAAAATAAACCTCTTCATTTGGTTGATCTTTTCTTTTGTTTTAGTCCTATTTCATCGATTTCTCCTCTGATCTTTATTTCTTTTCTTCCACTAATATTGGGTTTAGTTTGTTAATCTAGTTTCTTGAAATGCAATGTTAGATTGTTTGAGATCTTTATGCTTTACTGATGTAGGGAATTTATTCTATATGCTCCAAAACTGCTGTTGTTGTACCCAATAGTTCGGTGTTTCCATTTTCACTTGTCTCATGAAATTTTTAAATTTCTTTTTTAATTTCTTCATTGACCTGTTCGTTGTTCAAAAGCATACTGTTTAATTTCCATGTATTTGCAGTTTTCAAAGTTCCTCCAGATTTCTAGCTGTACTGCATTACTGTCAGAAATGATGCAACTGAATAAAAATACGTGAGTTTAATTGTTTTCAAATTTTTCAAAAAATTTTTTTTGGCCTAAAATATGACTGATCCTGAAGAACATTTCATGTACTGTTGAGGAGAATATGTTTTCTGTGGCTGTTGGGTGGAATGTTCTGTAAATGTCTGCTGAGTCCATTTGGTGTAGAATGTAGTTTAACTAGATGGCTTCTTTGGTGATTTTCTGTCTAGCTGATCAGTGAATTGTGGAAGCTATTAGTGTCCTTTTCTTTAGGATTGAAGAACTCTCCTTAGCATGTTTTGTAGGACAAGTCTAGTAGCAATGAACTCCTCCAGCTTTTGTCTGTCTGTGAAATTCTTGATTTTTCCTTCATTTTTGAAGGATAGTTTTGCTGGGTTAAACATTCTTATTTGACAATTTTTATTCCCTGGGCCTCTGAATACATCATTCCACGCCCTCCCGGCAGGCAACGATTCTGCTTAGAAAAGTCTGCTGCCTGGCACACCGTATAACCTTTATATGTGATTTGCTTCTCTTCTATCACTGCTTTTAGAATCCTCTTTCTTTTCGACCTTTGAGAGTTTGGTTATATCTTGGGGTGTCCTTGGGTTGAATCTGATGAGTTATCTTTGACATTCCTCTATCTGAATACTTATTTTTCTCCCTACTCTCCACACTCACATCAACAAACATTTACTAAATGCCTACTAGATATCACGCACTATGGAAGGTAGCCTGCTAAAGACACAGAAACAAATCCAACACAGTTACTCACTTAGTAACATAGAGAATGTTACTAAGAGACATAGAGAATGATGGCATACATAGAGTGACAACAGAAATATGTAGAAGATTCAGGGAAAAAGTTTTGTTTTTTTTTTTTTTTTTTTTTTGGAGACAGAGCCTCAAGCTGTCCCCCTGGGTAGAGGGCTATGGCATCACAGCTCACAGCAACCTCCAACTCCTGGGCTCAAGTGAGTCTCCTGCCTCAGCCTCCCAAGTAGCTGGGACCACAGGCGCCCACCACAATGCCCGGCTATTTTTTGGTTGCAGCCATCATTGTTGTTTTTGGCGGGCCCAGGCTACATTCGAACCC